GATAACTCATTACTAACCCTTTAAAATTTACCCCAAAGGGGTTATATACAAGTAATGATTAAAACTGACCTAAATCATAATTTAATTAAAAGAAATTAAAATGAAAACTGAAAATGTTCAGCAACCTCAGGCCACCACATTAATGATTCACTTTAATGTGTTTGTAGTTCTGCAATAATGGCCTTTGTGTCTATGTGCTTCTTGGTTTATGTCTAATATTATTTTACTACTGGAATAGTTTGAAAATGGTTGCAGGCTGTATGATCTCAAGTACTTATATGGATGCACATGTGTTTTTTTCTCACATTTTAGGGGTTTCAGTGAAGCCAGCATATCTACTTGTATGCAGATCAAGGCCTATATTTTTCACTTTCTCATTAATTAGTTTCTCTGCTATACAATAATGACATATTCATGTCATTAATACGATTACCAAGGCAGTATTTCTGTGCTGTAAAAAGACAGTTCAAAACTGGCGTCCCTTGTCTGACAGATCTCGGTTGTGCTTGTATTTGTTTTGCAAGAGAGAAGCACAGGTCAGGCCATTGGAGAGATGCCAAAGTCACTGGCCATGCAGAAAAGCAGAGGATGCTCCTGAACTTGCATGGCAGAGCCATTCAGAGGTGTAATAGGATCCAGCCTAGTGTGCCAGGATGTGGCACTTGCACAAATTAAGATGAAAGCCTCAGGTATTGGCCCTTTGTCACTTTTATTTCTACCCCAGGAAGGAGGAGGAGGTTTGGAGAAACTGTATTCTAAGCACTGACACTCTATGGATGATAGAGTGAATGATATATATAAATTAATGATTCATATAAATGATTCATATAAATGAAGCTTTCTCTGTAGCAAAAACAATTTTATTATTAATAGCCTCTGTGTTCATGAGTTGGACTAGATGATCCTTGTGGATCCTCTCTAGATCAGGATATTCTGTGATTCTGTGTTGGAGGGGTAGAAATGGACTGTTTTGTACTGATTATGCAGAACTTCTTCCTTGAAATAAAAACATACAGTATCTGCAATTCTGATTTCTTCTGAAAAAATGTCTTTTTGCAGCAGTTTTTGGGGCACGGACTTTAGCCTCATCTCTATGTATGTCACCAGCTGCTTGTGAAGAAAGGTGCTGCTGAGGAGGAGTAGGTGTGTGAGCAGACATTGCACTTCCTCAGCTCTGAAATGGGAAGAGCCAAGAGGCCAGCAGGCTATTAATATTTTTGTCTTGCCATGTTTTGTCACAAGAACAGTGGAAGATGTAAGAAGCCACATATTTCCAGGCTCTAACAGAGAAAATGTTAAGAATACTAAAACCTGCACCAAGGGTTTGTTCCCTGACCTTTCATCAGGATCTTGTCCCAGCCCTATCCTGTCTGATGGCTGGCTTATTATTTATCATATTATCTGCTTCATGTGGGGGCTGCCACTGCAGCTGGCACCTCACTAAGCATGCTAAATCCCTCTCCAGAACAGAAAGTGGGCAGGCACTCCTGGAGAATCCTCTTTTCTGGTGGAGTTAGAAGTATCACTTACTCTGCCAGCTTGCTGAGCATGCTGATTGATCCTTGTTTAGCCACTTTCCTACCAAATATAACATCTGGGGAGGGGGAAGGGGAATAGAATTTCTTGATGATCTCAAAGAAAATGCCAAAGAAGACAGCAAGAACCTATCAGGCAGTAGTCAACTTGGCAAGAGAAAGTAGAATATATGGACAGAAGAAGGTATTTTAGTGTCTGATGTGCTTATTTTGTTTGTACAGTACTACTGTAATCCTCAAACTTCTATTTTTTATAACTGAATCTCATACCAAGGGGAAAGAAACAGATGTTCTCATTTGTCTTGTGATGGGGCTTAAAATCATTTACATTTTCTGGCCTAAAATGACACGACATGTCATTTGCCACTTCTTGTATCTCCTTTGGAGTGAGTGACAGATTGCTGTTCAATTACCAGTATAATAGAAAAGCAAATATTGTGAAGACAGCTTTCACCTAAAGGAAATACAGTCACTGATTGCTGCAGCAGTGGGAAAAGAAGGATGGCAGATACTGTAGAAGCCATCCAGAGGAAAATACTTTTTTATTATAAATAATGTCGTGGGGAAGACTCAATGAAAATGTACTGGCTCTGGCTTTTCTGCCTGGAGGAAAGGAGAGCCAGGGGTGAATAAAAATATGATGGAAAAATTGTCTCAGTACTCTTGTAAAATATATTTTCAGCTCTTTGCCTTGAGGACGTGCTCCTTAAAGCCTTTCCATTTGCTCGGCACCCAGTTCCAGTGAAGAGAAATAACTGCAGAAAGACTCTTCATCAGTCAAAGACACTCAGTGAGAGACTCATTAGAAGGGTTTTTTTAAAGTAGAACAACATGTTTGTCAAAGACTTTGGGATTAGTCACTTCTCTACTCCATAGTTTGCTTTCTTGTCAGTGTATTCATGCCCTGCTTCCTCTCCTTCTCACAAGATAAACATATACTCCAGATCAAGCACAGTTTTTAACCATTCCTTCTGCAAGTCATTTATTTGAGCATCACTTGTCCAGTCTTAATTTTTAACATTTCCTTTTCTCTATTTCTGCCAAAGTCACTTGCCAGGCACAACACTTACTGTCAGTACACTGATCAAGATGAATTTTCATGCTATGATCCAGTCACTCTACTGGATTGGGTCAGAGTACAAGATAAGTTTCTGCTTAAAGTCTTTTACATTTTTATTTCTAAAGGAACAAAATGAAGTGAAAACATTTTGTAACTTAGGTTCTATGAGACCAACTCTAAACAATTAATGTCATGTGAAATAATACGTTTAGAATTGAGATAATGTGGTTTACCTGATAATCTACCAAACCAGATGATCATTTAAACTTTCTCTTGTAGTTTAAATTTTCTCTGAGTGACTTAAGCAAGAGATATAGTTCCTTGGTAATAAATATGAATGAACCCTTGAAATAACTGGTTTTAGTCAAATAAGTTGTGCTCAGAGTCATAATAATGGATGTAGAAACAAGTATCATCTGGAAATGGAGTTTTAAATTGTGAATGCAGTAAGGAATAGCTAGAATTAATTTCATTTATATATCAGTAGTTACATTTATGCCTGACCTGCTTTTTCTGGTTGTGAAATTCTTTCTGCATAGGGTGAAAAAATGTTACACTTGACCATAATTGAATCCTTGAAGCTTTGGCACTGCTCATTTTACAGTGGTGCAATAATCTCTTTTGGTCTGACCTATTGGTAAAGATTTTTCCAGTGCTGCTGCACTGCTGTGTTATAGGATTCTCTTGATTTATGGATTGCTTGCTGCATAGCTTGATGGCACCAAGCCTGTGTTTTAAGAGAAAAGGGGTGGGGCAGATAAATATTTAGCTAACTTCTGGGTTTTGTTTTTTTTTTTCCATGTGGTCCTCCTATTGTGTGTGGACAGGCAGAACTGTGACTTTGAAAACAATACCTTTTGATTTCAAGTCAGGGAAAGAAAAACCCTGCAGCTTTTGTCAGTCCATTCTGGTCATCTGCATAATGCAATTTTTTACAGGAGCTCACTAATGTGCTAAGAAATCACTATGGCAGTCATCCATTAAGGTCGGAATTCCTACAAAGAGTTACCAGGAGGGCAGGAAGCCCAAGTCCCCAGTGATGGCCATCAGCTGCACCCTGCCCACCTCTCTTCTCTCAAGGGAAGGGTGTCCAGTTCCTGCTCCATCTCCTCTCCTCCTGAGAGCAGCTCTGTGCAGGGCCAGCCTTGGAAATCATTCTCCACTAGTCCCATCTGCTGGATGCCAGGAAGAACTGCCTGCTGGAAAGAGGGAAAGCATCATACCTCAGCCTTTAAATATCTGCTGGGTGCAGTGTGCTGCCAGATGGACATCTGCCCGTGGAAAATACGTGCTCTGTCTTCCTTGCATCCACCTAATCACATTGGACCACTGCTATTGCCACCACCAGGTTCCATGGGTTAAGTGAAAGCAAGGTGGCCGACACGAGGAACTTTAGCTGTTTTGTTTTAGAGAAGCTGTAATCAGAAAACCCATCAGCCAGCAAAGATCACAGAAGAAAAATATGTGTATCATTATCAGGACATTTCCAGGCCTGGGAATGAATTTCCCTTCTTGCAATGTATATGCTCAGCAGGCAACTTTTCAAATAATCTCATTGAGGCTGGTGCTCAGCTGTTCTCGTGGTGCTGCAAAGCAGGGAGTGTGGCCATGGCATCTGATCCTGCGTGAAGCTCTGCAGCCTATCATGTTATTATGAAGCTAAAAGAGCCTTTTCCATCCCTGAAAATAGAGAATTCCTGATATATTTCTAATTACCCATTCTCCGTGGTTATTTGCTATTTGGTGCCTGCCTTCCAAAAGGGAGCTGGAGGGTAGAAAATGGATAATGAATATGAAGTAGTGAAGAAAACAGGGAATGAATGTGAATGTAAAAAGAGGAAAAATTCATTCAGTCCTAGCAATCTTACTTTGGTTTGGTGTGCTCTCTTCATTACAGCCATTTATGATGCTTTTTTTACTTTACATTAAGTGTCATAATGGCTTTTGCTCTAAAATTCAGTTCAGTTGATTCTCACCTTCCATAGGCATTGAAGTAAGTTCTGCAGGTCAGAAACACAGCCCAAGAAACTGTTGAAATGCTACAGGAGGAAAATAACCCTAGGAAAAAACCTCTTTATAAAATACGTAGAAGTTCAAGCAAAAATTTTATTTATTGTGGACCCTGTTTAGGGAAACATCCCTCTATTTGGTATTGTTATTTCCAGTGAGCTTATTGAGAGAAAATCTATAATCCTCATCTTGAGAGAAAAAACATGACTGGTTTAAATGGAACTGGTCCTGTTGGCAGGTTTTCTCAGCTTACCTTTACAATCTCTCCTTTTTTATCACAGTGCTTTGCTGTAAATTAACAGTTTGTGCTAAATTGGTTACAATTAATATTGCAGTGCTCCAGGTACCAATAAAAAGATATATCATAAATAATTTTTCTGTGTTTTCTTCAATAGGTGGCAATGGCACAGTGGACAAGGAAAACACCGATGAAAGTAAGACAGAGAGCCAAGAAGCAGGTTTGTGCCCAGCTCCTTAAAGGCCTGTCAGGTTTTATCCACTTTGGTGAACAATAACCTTAGTCAGTGCTTTTGAAGGGAATGTTTGTACACTTTCACCAGATTAGCTCAGGTCTTGAGCAATTCTCCCATTAGAGACTGAATCTTCATTCATTATGAATGAATGTGCTGCAGTGCAGGAGTGCAGACCCCTCTCCAGCTCACCAGCTCTACATTCTTCCTTTCAGGTGACTAATCTAGCTAATCGTCTCACAAGGAATAACTTTTTTTTCTCCTCTCTGGATAGAATAGGAATGAAGGAAAGAAATTTGGGGAAGGACGAAGCAAGCAGCAGGCTCCTTCTCATGAAAATTCAACTCCTGAATATTTTTAAAGGGTATTTTCAAGTTTTAAAAAATTGCCTGCACAAGTCACAATGGTTATAAAGATTTAAATCCATAGAGAAAAATATTACATATGCTGTGAGTGAATGTCAGAACTCACAAATGGTGGGTTTTGCAGGTGTCAACGCTTATAAATTCTAGTGAGTTCAGTATGTCAGAATATAGTGTCACTCCATGCTCACAAGAGATTTTTTTTTTCTGTTTGTTTTTTTTTTTTTTCCTGTTCTGTTTTATCAGACACAGGCCACTTCTGATCTTATTCAAGGATCTTAACGCCTTTGACTTTTCATTTCGGTTCTGTTCACTATCAAAATGATTTTTTTTTTCTTTTTGTTTTTTTTTTTTTTCCTGTTCTGTTTGGTTGTTTATGGTTTGCACAACTCTGTTCCTTCCAAGAGACAGCTAGAATGACTTACTTACCAAAAGACCTGAAGTGGCAATCGAAATGTCTCTCTATTACCTTATTTATTAAGTATTTCTTTAACTGTAGTATTACGTGTAGCACACAGTTTTTCTCATTTGATTAGGATTTCTTTCCCATTGTAATGCGGAATGTTCCTTAAACATATTTAAACCAGAAAGAATAAAAGGGTTTTTCTTTGGAATTTCTTGAGCTGAAGGTAGCCAGTCAGCAAACACAGCAGATAAATTTAGACGGCCTGGGTTCCTGACTTACCTGATTTGTTTCCTGTATTGTGGTAATGAGAAGTCCACTGAATGAGGGTCTTCTTCTCATCCTGTGCATTGGCCACTGTGTAGGTAGAAGGGCAGCTTTTCTCTCTGCCTTCCACAGGTAACTGTTCTTCAACTGAGTGTTGACATCTGATGTTGCCTGTACGTGTTTGAAGCCCTTCTGTGCTTCATGTCCTTTTTGTCACCTCTTCTGCCTCTTAATGTGGGGCAGGCAGTGCCAGGTGAAGCCAGAAGCAAACAGTGTTACAGAATGAAATAGATTCCCATGGACCTCAGCAAACTTTATCCTCCCCAAGATAAGGGTATGGTGGTGTTTTGTAAGTGCTGGAGGGCAACCACATATCCTACCCTGGTTTTTCACTTTCATGCTAGTTGTATTTTAAACAGGCCCAGGGGACCAGGGAGAAGAATGAGCTATTCTGTGTGAATTGAAATTCTCTTTTGAATCCCTGACTAGACTGTGGCATATCTTTTTTCCTAGCAATTTTGAGCTTTTAACTTTACCAAGTACTACTTGACTGCCAGCTCACCTAAGAGCTAAGACTGCCTGGAGCTCCTGGCTCCAATTGCTGAGGTTCCTGTTAAACCTGATTATAGCTTTTGCAGATGCCCACTGTGCTTGTCAGTGATAGTCACTCTGAGGGTGTGAGTTTGATTGAATAAAATACTCTTTTTTTTTCCCCCAAGAGAATTAAGGAATATTTGCCTCTTGAAACTACTTCTTTGCTGTAGGTGTTTTTAATGCATTATGCTTTTCCCAAAACTGCTTGTTATGACTTGTTGCAACATGAGCTGTCAGAGCTGGTTTATCAGAGCAGTGATATACATTCTTTTGCTATCTTGTATTGGTACTCATGTTTCATTATTCTCATGAAGAGTGTCAAATAAAAGATCCAGATATTTGAGGTCCCAGATCCAGAAAATTTCATACTTTAGGGACACGATTTAGGTACATACCTAAATATAATGCCATGCCCACTCATAGCCCAGTACTCAACTCCTTGACCCTGGGCAGATGGTGTTGCAGGAAAAAAATGATTTGCCTTATCAATTTTCCCTCCTGGTTCAGATAGTCACAGGAACAGAGCGCCACAATTAGCCCAAGTTGGTTACAGCCATTTAATGAGTCTCTGCAGTTTTCTGCTCTATGCACTGCAGAGAAAAAGCATCACCAGGAGCTTTGAGGTTGCTGCTTTTTCACCCCTTCTTGGCAGTAGAAAATGACCTGATTTTCCAAGGTACACAGTTGTATGCTTAGATTTCTAAACACTATGAGTGACCACTTTTAGGAGCAATTCCCCCCAATGTTAAAGTTCTTATTTGTATTATCTAAACCAAAGGCATAAACAACTTCTGAGTGCAACAAATCATATACTGCGATATTGTGAAAGAAAATATAGGACAAAAATTTGATGCTTTATCTTAGCTGGTCCATTACATAAGGATTTTTATATTCTCATTATAGTGAAAAATATCATTATATTATAAAGAAAAGTATATATTATAAAGAAAACTATTGTAGTGGAGAAAACAGTAATATTCTGAAAAGACTGAAAATTTTAAACTGTGTGAGGTTTTTTTAAAGTCTGACCTCCAGTCTGTCATCAATGAGCTTCACAGTTAACACGTGGAAAAACAACAAGGCAGGTGGTTCTGAGGTCTTATTTCAATCTAGTTAAAAGTACTTGATGGCTATATAAGGAAAATATTTTCCCAGAATCATCAGCAACAAGTCTTTTGAAAGAAATTAAAATCTAGACATTAAAATGAAAGTTTATAAAGACTTTTAGAACTACAAAAAATAGCAAGAAAATAAAATGTTTTCACTTTCACTGTTGATTTAAGTTCAAGTACCAGTTGTATCTATTAACTACAATAGTTTTACCTGCATGCTCTACTATTAAAAAACTGCAAGCTGCAGAATTTTAGGGACTTTCTAATTTCAGACCTGATTCAAGAAAGCTTCTATTTTCAGGAAAGCATTTGCATCTAGTCATTTGGATTCCAGTAGGATTCATAGACATAATTCAATTTAAGAATGACTTAATTATTTTTTTTCAAAATATATGGGTTAAATGAAAAAAAGAAATCTCAGAGCAAATAGAATACCAGTGTACCCATTAAACCAATAGCTGTTCCTCTCTCTGTATTATGAGAAATTGAAATACAGATTTAACCTGCCTGTATTGGAATGTTAGATTACACCTTGCTTGGGGAAGATGATCAGACCAGTAATAGCCAGTGAATGGATGGAAGCCCAGTAAATGAAATTCAGGTCTAATGTCTTGTCTCAATAAGGCATAACACTTTTTTTCAGTAAAGTGGTTCATCAGTTTTCTATTTAATTAATAGCTTCTCTTTCATTTCCTTTGTTCTTGTAGGTGAAACAAAACCTTCAGCTGTAGCCAGCCTATCATCAGAAGACACTGAGCTCAGTGAGAATAAAGGTACAGACTGGAAATTGGATTTTCAAATATCCTCTCCCACGAGGACATTTCATGAAACTGTTTTTTCCTTTGTCTGGAAACAGCCAAAATAACAGTTAAACAATACAGAAATAGGTAAACGCTTGGATTTTCATTTACAAAAGTCTTTGAAATTAAGTACTTGGTACCAACTGTTGTGCTGGTAGGAGAGACATCACAAATTTGTAAGTCCTCTTGTTGTGGAGTTAATACAAAAATATCATACATGACATATCCAAAACAAGCCCAAAGCTTGGGCTCACTGGGGTGATTCACATATATTTAAGCATGCACATCTATCTCAGCAATATCAGCTCCCTGTTCAGTGCTCTCCTGATGCAGGAAAAGAAAAACACAATAGCTATAAACACATCAGGAGGAGACAGGAGGAGATGAAGTCATAACAGAGGGGCAGAGAGTAATGTTTATCTTGTGCAGACTGTGCTGGGCACTCAGATAATTTAGTTTGTAATAAATATTTAAAAGTGTCACAGGACCAAATGATAGGGTGTTTAGGAAACAAGAGAGATTATCTAATTTAAATGCTTCAAGCTGAGATTTTTCCTGTGGAGCTGTTGGTTTACCAACAGATAGGAGCCAGTGCACAGCTGTATTGTTTTTGATATTCCTGTAATAATCATGCTATTAGTTGCTTGTGCTGGTCTACATTTTTAGCATTTTTGTGGGGGTACATTAGGAAGAAGTCTGGGTGAAATACAAAATGTTTGCTACTGGTAATCCAAAACAGGAGTTATGCTATCTATAATAAATGTAGCCTATCAGTATGACCTTCAAGAAAGACTATTAGAAAATTTTCGTGCATTTTACTGAGATAACATAATTATTAACATCCATTAACTTATTTATTTTAAAAGATTTAGTGTTTAATTCAGCATTGCTTCTTGACTCTCTTCTCGTTTTTCTAGATAAGTGTGACAGGGTGTGAGATCCTGCCCTTTTGTTCAAAGCCACATGCTGGATAGCCTACATACTTACCTGATTATGAGTTCAAAGCCTTGTGCAGGTTGATTTAAGTGCTCTTGTAACAGATTGATTGATGCTGCAAAGAAAAAAAAGAACCACAAACCTTTGCTGTAGCACTGGCTTTTGCTTTTGATACATCACAAATTGAAATCCTGGCAAGGGTAGTGGAAGGCAGAAATAGTGATGGATTCAATCCCAGCATGGTTGGTGATTGCCTGTCATTAATTTCTCTTGTTTTGATGACATTTGGCCTGTTTATGTCTTCTGTATCTGGAAGACTCCCCATTTTGTCTTTTTCACAATGTGAGGGTCACAGAGAGGCTTTGGGGTTGGATTTTCCTTTTCTGTCTGCAGTCAGGTGACAATCCCAACAAATTGGTATTTTTCCACATGCTTGTTCCTAATGAAGAAGATGACTGTCTTCTGATATGCTTCTCAGTGTGTAAGCCCTCCAGGTTTTTACACCATTGCATTAGAAGTCTCTTCTTAGGAAAGAAATTGTCTTTGTGTGATAAGTCCCACTGTTCATATAATATATTAAGAGTATATCTAGTGTTTTCCCCTCTTCTCTTGAGAGGCTGATGGAAGAGAGAGAGCCCTGAGAGATCCAAAGTGCATTATCTCCTTGATGTCCTACCTCTCCTCATAAGAAAGATGGGAAGCATCTTGTAGGAAAAAAGAGTGAGACAAAATCTCCTCCATATATTTTGCTTGTAAAATTGTACAAGTTAAAAAAAGAAAAAAACGAAGATAAAAGCTAAGACCACGTTTTCATATTTGCTTGCTAGTTTTTTTTTTTTTTAAATGGAAACAAGAATTTTGAACAGCAAGGCCACCATGGCCATGGTTTTAATCCTTATTTCCATTGGTAGATTTTCAGTTTGCAGATCTTTACTGTGAGGGTGATGAGGCATTGATAGAGATTGCACAGAGAAGCTGTGGATGTCCCATCCACAGTGTTCAAGGCCAGGTTGGACATGACTTGGAGCATCCTGGTCTAGTGGAAGGTGTCCCTGCTGGGAGCTTAGAATGAAATGATCCTCAAGATCCCTTCCAACCCAAACCACTCTGTGATTCTTCAATGCTTCTATAATTTCAGATTTTTGAGAGGTTTTTAAAATAAATATCACTGTTATAAAAAATGTGCTACTTCTTGAGAAATGGCACTTTTACAAAATCCTGGCATTTCTGAAAACACCTGATGCTCCCGAAACAAATTCCAGCTTTCAAATTGTTTGCCCACTGAGTTAACAAGGCTAAAACCTCCAGGTTCTGGAACATATTCATTTCTCTCATATTCATTTCATTATCTTCAACTAAATGAACAGGACATAAAGCATTTAAAGAAATTATGTTTTCCCAGTCCTTCCACTTAATTACTGTAAAAGATTTATGGAAAAGAAGTCTAGCTGCACATTCCCAAAATGCATCATTTAAACCACTCTTTCTTGCTATGAAAGTTTAGCTATTTTAAATGTCAGCTCACTTTGAGTGCACTAAAACAAGGATTTTGAGTCCAATTAGAGTTGACTAGCAGTTTTTCTGCTTTATTTTTCCTCCTCATATTCCTGGGATCAAAATATAGCCAGTATATTGACATAGTTATTGTTCTAAAATGTGATGATATTCAAAACAAAGCACATCCATCTCTGCTACTATGAAGATCTAGTATTTCTGTTGTATGTCAGTCCTCTTTATCATTTATTTTTAAAGGAAAAAAGGGAGGATGTGAACATGAAAGGGATTTTTATGATAAGAGTGAGGGACAGTGCAGGAATTACACTTGAGTGGCTTTGATTAAAATGAAAACCTCTTGTGAGACCGCAAATCTCACATTAAACTAAAAGTATATGTCTTCTGTTACCATAGATAGGTACTGTCCAGGAAAAAAAGTCCACAGTTTGCACACGATGTTTGAGCAAACTGAATTTTTGGAGTGTTCATTTGTCTCCAGAAAAAAAAAAAAGGGGAGGGGTTGGGGTGCAGGAAGGGGGAGAACAGTCATATTTCAAGAATAACAGGATTTTCAATGCAACACTGTAGAGCTATCCTCTTATTCCAATCTGTGCCAAGTTTCTCTTCCCACTATCTGCAAATTTTACCATCACAATTTTGCCCTTAAAAACTTGCATGCTTACCTATGATCTCTCGGGGGAGAGTTGACATCTCCAGGCAGCACCTTTGCAAAAGTTCTTCATTACTGCGCATATGGAAGTAGATCCTTTATATACAGCATACTTCAAGTGAGAGATGCTTCTTTCTGTGAAGTGTAAAGGCAGAACAAAGTGATTAAAGTCATTAATGTTTGTGCAGCAGATAAAGGGTGTATCAGGAAGGCTGCACTCAATCTGGTATGTCTGTACAAGATTATGCTGGGGCTACAAATTCATTTTAAACTGACCATGAAGTATGTAGAGATTGGATTGAAGGATTGAACCTGTGCTTATGTTTTGTTAAAGAGAGTCTGTGTACATGCATGCATGTGTGACAGAGAATATGCTGCATCTTCATCTCAGTTGACCCTTTTACCAATCACTATTTTAACCCAATTTAATGATTAGACTTTCTGGCAGGAAAATGTAAAAAGGAACTGGATTTAATACAGGTGAAGCATAAATCCCTACTGTGCAAAGTTTCTGTGCACAATACATTTATTATAATTCATTAGCACTTAATAAGAACTGAATTTCATTTGAAGGTCAACTAAATTAAATCATATACTAACTAATTTTAAAAATAAATAAGTGATTGATTAATTATTTCCAGACATTCACCAAAGTCTGGGCTTCTGTGGGAGTGCCATTGAAAGCAAGTCACTGTTTTTCTGCATTCTCTGGAGTCAGATTCAGTTGGCTGGAGGGCTTTTGTTTTCAGAAACAGAATTAGATATATGACTTGGCTAAGGGTGGGTCTTAAAAATTCTCTTTGGGCAACCCAGAAGCTGGTAAGTATCCTGACTGTAAAATGTAATGGGTGTAAATTCCTCTTTGGCCAGCTGTAGCTCTCAGTATGGAAAAATCATGATGTCCTGAAGATGGAAATGATTGAGAAAGGATAAACTGAAAGAGCATTTCAAATGCAGGGGAGCTGTGCAAATTGACATAAATTAGTCATTGGTAAGCACATGAAAAAGACTGACTGAAAGGCCAATATGTTCAGAAAGAGGTATTTAAAATCAGTTCTTAGGTATATATTAAGATGTCTAAATGACTGACCTGATTTTGAGCACTCAGCTACCAATGAAATGTTTTTACCTCACCCTTGGGCTATGATTACTCCTAAAGTTTCAGCCTGGAGAATTTAAATTATAGGTAACTGGAAAAGAACCTTTTTGAATGGAAGAGTTTCAACACCCTCAACCATACCTGTGGCTTTGTATACCTCCTCAAGCAATAACATTTTTCTGTCCCTTGGTTAGAAGGATTCCTGTGAAAGCCAACTGGCTAACACAAGCTAATTTGTGGGGTTTGGGGTTTTTAACCAGGGATGTCAGCACCACCATCCAACCAGCCACTTATTCTCTTAACACCTTCCACAAGGCTCACTGTGAGCTGCTTGTAACGTGGGTTATTCACTTCTTCACATTTCATCTAACCCGAGTTGTGCATCCAGATGGGGTCCAGCCCCTGAACTACTCAAGAGGTGTTTCTGCTCTACCCTTCACCAGTACTGGCACCTGCAATAGTGAACACTAATCCACCTTATTTAATCCTCCTTATTTTTGAGTGTTATCTGACCTAGAGCCATTCAGCTGTGCTCCCATCACTCCAGCATGAGATCCTGCTCTTTCATCTCCTCCCTCCCGTCCTTTCCCCTGGACAGGCTCTAACCTTACAGGTTTTTCTCAGCTTTTGCATTTCCCAGAGCCCTGTACAACAGGTCCTGCTCCTTACATCAGGAAAAGGATGCCCACAGTTTTTATACTAGCTGCACCTGGAATTTCTCAGGTGGACAGAAGATGAGATGCCCTTTCTTCAGCTTGAAGCACAAGCAGTTTGGAGAAGTATTTGGTGGTCCCACCTGCAGAGATGAACTTTTTGGTCTATTACCTGAAATCTTGCTAAAATATCTTTATGAGTTGTTGCACCTAAAGAGATCTGGTTTACCAAGCATTTTTAAACTTGGGCTTCAATAAATCTAATCTGTTATAAAGATAGATTAAAATGAAATCTTGGTGGATATAAAAATAACATTTTAAAGTCAAAGCTCAAGAATTTCTTCCTAACTTCTCATAAACCATCATTTTATAGTACTTCATTTTGACATATTTTCCTCGGTTTATGAGGCAAAAGAATACCCTAATCATGTGGAAGCCTCCATGCACGCCATTACCTATAATTTTAGATGTCTGCTGGATTTCTTTCACTCTGGAAATATTCCAGTCATTTATCACAGTATCATGCTTAAAAAAATAAAATGTACTGAACCTGCTTCTTTCCTAATGACCAGCATTTTCCCTCTTTGATCTTCTTACAGCTCCCTAAAACATGGTGATTTATCTATGCTGTGTACAGGACCCAGATGTTCTGCACATTAGAAACTACTCAGTAAATAAGCCATACAGAGAGTAGCTGGGGAAGTGAATTTTAGAAGAGCATTAAAACCACTTAACATTCAGTTCTTAGCATCTCCCTTCTTCCTTAGCTTTTGCAAAATCGTGTTTGAGTAGCATTGCCTTATACAGTCAAAGGAAAAAATGAATGGCATGGAAAAGCATGGGGATTTATACAGGATTTAGACAAAATAGTGCCTGACTATTGGCAGGAAGGATAGGGTTGATAGTTTACTGCAAGCTGTGGGCATTTTTTGGAGATTAATTCAACGTACATTTGATAGGAGCAGTGAATATGCTTGCAGAGTGTTCTGATCAGTTTATTTAAAGCTGAAATATTTTGTAAACAGATTGTTAAAGACTGGGGCTAATTCCCAGGTGGACTCAAGCATGCAGTCCCACAAGACACTTGTTCCAATAAAATGGAGGGTAGCAGAGATAAGCACTCCTGACATAGACACTGCCACTCCCGCCAGCAAGGAATTTTGAGAACCAAGGGATGCTCAGACTTCAACCATCACTTAAGCTCCTGATGTGCAGTAGATAAATGTGGCCTATCTTTGCCTTATTTACACAATTAAACCTCCTGTTTGACTCATGCATGTGTGATATTAGGAACTGTGTCCCAATGTGGTATCAGAAACAAGGTTTTTTTCAGTCCTGACTGGAGGAGTCTTAACTTTTACAGTCTCAATTTGTATTTACAGTGCCCAGTGTATAAGTTATCAAAAATACTGTACTGTGAAAGAATAGTCTGGCTTGGATTCTCTGGTATGACTTAACAGATAATTAAATATGCTGGGAGAAGGCTGACATTGCTTTATGCCATTTTACAAAATCAAGTGAGTAAGAGGTGAAGAAAGGCCTTAGGGACAGCCAGTGCTCTTGTAGGCCCTGAATCATATAGGACTATAATACTGGCTTTACACAAGGCTCCAAAGGGCTAAGTGGGCACAGAGGATCAGCTGAGCCTGAGGAATATCACTATCCTACTGAAAACTTGCACACAGAATGTGGTGTATCATCAGCATTTTTATTGATCACTGCCTTTGGTTTTACACTTTCACTTTTGCTTGGCACAGATTTGCTTCATAAATCTGGATTTATTCCTTTGTTTTATTTTATTCTTGTTAATCCTAAAAGTAAATCTGTCTTTGGACATTTTGGCTTGAATATTTAGTGCAATATTTGGATTTGAAAAGGAGTAACCTTTGATATGATCTTGACATTAAGGATTTTGGAGCTCAGAATCTGCATGGTAAAACCAATCAAGACAGGTTTCTGCTGGTGACGTAAAATTGAGAGACTCTTACAGCTAGGCAGTAACTTCTGTCCATTGTCTGTTATTTTCAGAGACATGCTTTGCAAAAAATAACTTGCAAAAATTATCATTGTAGATGGCCTGGGACAATTTGGAATTCAGTGAAGTTACATTGCTTTCTCAAACACTGGAGCAATTGGACAACTGTTTATGATAAAAATGAAAGTTTAACTCCAAATTACAATTCCTTGAGAATGAAGCCCACAGGACAGACTGCCAGCTGTGCCAATAGGTGGGAATAGTGTGGTATGGAAGACTGGTGAAGTAGGGCAAAAAAAAAGTGCAGCAAGTATAAAGTTTAGCAAATTGTACATCAGTGAGTTATTCTACTTTCAAACTTTGTTTTTTTAAACTTATTGTCATGCCATGAAAGAAGTAAGAAACTGTGCGGGTAATTAAATATTTGCCTTGGGGGATTATTTGCAGTTAATTAAAGCCACACAATTTCAGCACATACCTTTCCTACAGATTATTAAATTTGGATCAGTTATTAACAACCTAGCTTTCTACTTATCCATCAGAGATTACTTTTGGACACTTTCAGGAACAGAGTTTTACAGGGGCATACTTGGGTATATTGTAAGATTTGCTCAACAATGTTGTTGAGAGGGACCTTCCAGAATTTAAGTTGTAAAAGCACTGCCAGGATGTAATTTATTATCACGTGCTGTAGATCTTTTGGCACTGTCACTTACTTTTTCCATTGAGCAGGATTTTAGAAATCATCTCACATGGGAACAAAAACACTGATCATCTCTTGCTGCTGTTGTGACCTGGAGTGGACTTATCCCTATGGTTTGCACATTTAGATCAGCACTGGTTTTTAATGAGGTTCAAAGAGAGTTCTTTATCCAGTGAAATCTGTCTGTGAAGAGGATGAGCAAAACTAAATCAAGTGTCTTTTTTGCTGTATTACCTGAATGCATGGAATTATGCATTATATATTTCTCTGTCCCCATGCAAAACTGGCTGTTGTCAGAAAATGTTTGATGCAACAAAATGATGCCTTGTGTTTATGAAGACCCCAGATAGCACAGCAATTGGACTATCTGCCAAAATGTAATTTAAGTCTCACTGTGGCACTGGTTCCAAGCATTGCTTTGGGTAGTTCATTTTGACAGTCTGCCCCAAAAAAAGAAAAGCACTCTCGGCCTTGGGAGCTTTGTCATCAAGTGACATGAGGCTAGGATTTGCACAGGGATTTATGGGATTTAATGTTTCTGGAAAGATTTAAAGTTTCTGTAAATTCAGCCATGAAAAACTGTTATTCTAAATAAATAATAAATCACTTTATTTATCAAGTAGATTGTTTCTGCTATTTCTCATAGATTTGTGCCACTCCACTCATTAGGAATATAATTCTTGGTAGTGCTGCTGATTATTCTTATGCATCCTTCTTCATCAGCTCCTGGTTTAAGTCTTGTACTGCCAGCAAAAAACTGCTCAGTATGGGCAGGGATTCTGATATCAATTTGAATAATTGGAACCCACAAATACACTTCTGTAGTTTATAAGACTGTAGTTAAACAGCTAGAAAATCAGTCAGTGTATCAAAATGTCAAATACGAAGCTGGCACCTAAGAGCTCCTCTAACTCAAGTCTACTTTCCCAGCATGAAAACTGCTTCAGGATTTGTTTGTTTGCTTTTTTTCCTCAGATTCCCTGAAAGACTCCAAAGGCACGCAGAAAGGTGATTCAGTGCATCCTGTGGGGTGTGAACAAGATCAAGCCAAAGGTAAAGTTTTGTATCAAAGTTTTTTAGGACAGCCATGATGAACCAGTGTGAAACTTGAGTTCTTCCAGTGTCAGCACCCAGTGGGTTTAAGCCTGACTTCTGCCACCTTAAGGAAATGCTGTTCGCTAATGGAGGTTACGTGTCAGCCAGCTGTGGGACAGTAACCCCTGATGCTACTGGGAAAGCCACGTGTCTCTAAATAGGTTTAGCCATAATGATCCTGGCTGCACAGCACTATTATCATGTCCTCCTGTGTTGTTATTGTGGTTCTGAAAGCCTGTGGGGTGTTTCTGTTCTTTCTGCTGACCATCAAGTACAAGTGCTTTACAACATCTCCTATGAGAAAAACAATGTCAAGGCTGAGCTGCAAAAGAAGAAAAACTGTAAGTGCTGCAGGGTCAGTTTTGACCAGCTATCTAACTAACCTAATGTTTAGTACTGTTAAATGACATTTTCCTATATAAAATGTGTTCAACATGGTTCACTTACTAGGAAAAAAAAGTGGTTCTTGGCTTAGAAATACCATGCTGTGTCTAAGGTTCACTTTCTGTTTTAATGAATTGCATGCATGCAGCATCATCCTGATAGCATTTTCTGTTTGCTGTATTAACAGGACAACAGGATGTTTCTGCAAATGAGGAGATAAAAACTGGGGCAGATTCCCAAGGCTCCTGCATGGAAATAGAAGGTACTTCAGTGTCTTGAAATCAAAGAGCAAGATTAACAAGCAAAAACACTAACGTAGAATCACGGAATCATAGAATGTCTGGGATTGAAGGGACCTTAAAGATCATCTAGTTTCAACCCCCTGCCATGGGCAGGTACACCTTCTGCTAGGCCAGGTTGCTCAAAGCTGCATCCAACCTGGCCTTCAATGCATCAAGAGGTGGGGCATGGGCTGTGTGTGTCTCTGGGATTGCAATGAGTCCCAGTGAGGACCCATGTTTGGAGTAAGCACACGGGATTTTGTGCTAAATCCCAGAAAGTCCAGTATCTTCAAGGCTTTGCTCTGAACGAGAGCCCCTTGGATTTCCTTGGACAGCTTTTTTATTTGTATTCATGGAGGAAAAGATCCTTTTCCTCTGCCAGTGTTTTTAATGGCAAGGTCTCTAGTGGGTGTTAATCCTTTCAAGTCCATTCTGAAAAGCCTTACTCTTCATCTTTTTATCAAATTTATTCAGATCCACCGTTGAACCAAGACACAACAGAAGCTGAGATTCCTTTGATACTTGGTGCAGAGGAAAAGGAAGAAGGAAAAGAAGAAGAAGGAGGTGAGCCTATTATAAAGCAGATGGAGACAGAGAATGCTGCAGGACTCATGTTATCCTTTTCTATTGTAAGGAAACGTGAAAAGGACACAGAAAAGTGTTCTTTTTTCCTCTATGAAAAAAATCTTTTTTTTGTCTTATCTTTGTGTGTAGTTTTTATATATTGGACTTGGATTTCACTAGAATGCTAAGTGCAAAAAAGTGCACACTCAGGTTCAAAAGTGGCATTTAAATACTCTCCTCACTTTTGTTTTTTTGCCTTTAAGCCCATAATGCAAGAAGCATTTGGAGTATTTGAATAAATGAGTATGATAGTTATTTGTGAGATAAATTAATAGAGATTTAACTAAAGAGTAACTAAAACTAGTAATTCTAAAGAAGAAACCAATATTTGGATTGAGAATGCAGTCTTCTGAGGCAGTAATTTTTTAATGGTAGTAAAGTATTTGAAATCTTGGGAATACTTTTGCAAGGAAATATAGAAATTTAAGTGTTGGATGCTCCTGGGAACCCTGCAATCATCTCACCATTTGTAAAGGCACATGGTTATATAAAAATGATGTATTATGTAAATAATTCTCTAATTTTAAAGTAACTGCCAGTTAATTATATGGTCATTTGTAGAGCCCAAGGATGAATATTACAGTTCCATATTAAAATGCAGACATGATTTTTATTGAAAATTCTGGTCAATACTAACTGTGTTGTCCTAATTATGAAGTCCTTTTCTCAGCCACATTGACATCAACTTAATTGCAAATCTGAATTAGCAATGTTGACAATTTTCTTCACTGCAAAGCCAGGTTAATAGAACCTCTTTGTTCATATACAGCTAAACAATATTTCCATTTCTATTTTTTTTCTTAAATTTTAATTGCCTATCCAAGTTGAGACTAATCACATCTCTTTGTTATCATTTGTGTTAATGGTATTGGTTTTGTGCTGTGTTAATGATGGTGAAGGTAGAATTGATATAATTCTTACGTTCAAATTCAGGTAAATGGTACCACACTGCCTCAGTTGCAAACCCAGGTTATGCAGTACAGGCTCACTCTGATTGCAAATACCAATCCTGTTATGTTAATCTCTGCCAAAGAGAAATTATTAATGTATTATTTTATGCATCAGCACAACTAAATTGTTAGTGTCCCCGACAGCTAGGGACTGTCATTTAGTTCTCAGAAGAGAGATTATATTTCAACATCTGTGCTACTTACTATTAAAATATGCAATGTTAAGGAAAAGCAGGTAATGTCAGAAAAGGATTGTTCTTGGCACCTTTCCTTTTCCAGCCCTTGATTTAAAAGTTTCAAATACTAAGTAAAAAAGTTCTTGCTAAATATTTTGGAACTTGTTCCTACCTGGGGTCTCAGGTGTTGATACTGTGCAGCATTCATCTGATTCTCAGTTTGTTGAAGTCCATAGAAGTAGTGTCATCAATTTAAGTGGTCTTTTGGTAAGTTCTATGATAAGAGGAGATGTGTTGAGTGTGTGCAGAATAAGAGCACAAATATTCTGTTCAGCTTGTTCCAAAGGTACTGTCTTTGGTACAGGAAAATAAATGGGGTGCTCTTGCAGAGCAGGAGCAGAGAAGGAAATAAAAGCTTTCCTTTATCTTGTTTTCATTCTTGTGGGTATAACCACCCTCATAGCTCATCTTGCTAGTTGCTTCTTGTTCTGGTGGGCACAAATTCTACCACATGGGTTTTGAAAATTTGCCATAAAATGAAGTGGATCTGGACAAAAAGAGGTAAGAAAAATAAAATCAGCTGAAGATCAGACTGATAAAATATGTTTCCCAATGAGAGATTCCTCTTAATGGAAAGAGATTGCCTGGCATTAAAAAGAGATTTAATATGTGATATTATTTTATGTAACCTAAGTGCTACCTCCTAAAGTAATTCAGCTGAAAGTTTTCCAACAACACACACAGTACATTTGATATAGGATTAAATACTGTATTTTTGTGCAAGAATGTGGGGAAAAGGCTAATGTGGGACTGCTAGTCCTGTTAAACAGAAATTCACAGATCTTTAGTCAGTTTGACCCATTCTGGATATATATGCATAGCCAAATGTTGCAACTACTAAATTCCAAACTACCTGGTCTTTCTGTTCTACATGACATTTTTTTGTGTGTGTTTTCAAACTCAGCCCAGAGAAAAGGGTGGCATGTAGCTGCCTCTCTCTTCTCTCTGTCTGACTGGGAGCATTATGGTCATCTGCCATCCCTTCAGTCCTCAGGACTGGAGCTGTGTAAGCCACTAAAGGACCAACAAAGAACAAAGTCCCTTTTCCAACCTAAAGCTGAATTTCTGCGCATTTACTGATTGTGTCTTTGTGGCATGCAAGAGAGTTTTTCAATGATGTGGTTTTCTATGGAAAAAATGTCTGTTTCTTGATGTTTTAGAGACGTGTCAGTTTACATGAACTTCTGACAAACCACAGGTTATCTTCTGATTTAGTTGTGCAAATTTTACTGCCATCTCATCTCTGTGTTTTGGGTTTTTTTAAAGCTTGGAGAGCCCTTTCTATGTAGCTCATTTCACTTCACAGCTCCGGGATCATGCTGTAGTGTGAATTCCCAAGGAGTCCCAGATCCCGGGGTTCTGGGATACTGGGAGCCCAGAGGAATGAATAACCAAAATCTTGGCAGTTGCACTCTTAAATCCCATTGCCAGCAGTAAGAACCAAGCCAGATCACCCTGAAGAATATAACAATGTGAGGCACTGTGTGTTTCATAAAAACCTGCTGTTGCCTTTCCCAAAATCAGTAATAAAATATCACATGTGCCAATTTATTCCCTTTTTTCCTACTTCAACTTGAAGTTATATATTATAAGGGAGCAGCTAAAGAAAAAAGGCAAGCTAAGATGCCTTTTTTATTCTTTTTCCAACTACTATTATGTGCTCATTCTAGTTTGCAAAAGAAAAATGAAAATCTATGTTTCTTATAAGATTGGGGAATATTCTCAAATCCCTTTATTAAAAACCAGAGCAAGTGGTGATCACTGACCTATTTGCTGACTATGTAAGTGCACACATTTTAACAGACCTTTTGGCAGTCTCTTTATATGTACACTTTCAAGTAGTCCTGTTGTGTTGTAATGGCCATGCACTCAGCACTTATTTGTAGGTTTAATCAGCACATTTATTCCACAACACATGGAAGTAAATCCCATATTTGAGTGAGTATGCAGCCAATTTCTCCTCTGAGCCCACTTTCACCTCTGTCATCTTATTTCCCCTCTCTTTCTATCTCCCTTCATTGCAACATTCAGTATGATGATTTCCCTCACTAATCACCCTTAGAAGTCATTTAACTCTTTGAAGGGGCAGGATTTCTGTCAGAGCACTAGAAAATGAACTGTTATTGCTGTTATTTCTCCGTTTTCTCTCTTCTCTATTTGGGCTGAAATATCTCATCATCTTGTACCAACTTGGAATATTGTTTGAGCTTGAGGTGTGATGTTTCTCCACATGAGAGAGTGGCTGTGTAGAATCCTCACCTGAACCATGAGGTTAGGGCTGGCTCAGGGGCAGGCTGGGGGAGGTTTCCATCATTTGCAGTACATGTGATTTCCTGTGTCAGTCTTCTGATCAGTGCTTGCTTACTCTCAATTTAAAGTCTGCCTAATTTCAAAGTTGAAGTCTGCCAAGTTCTGTTCTAGCTAAGCCCAGTTTTGCTCAACATTCTTTGTAACATGAATAGCTGTAACCTGTAACTCTGGAGGCACCACTTTGTCCATTCTTCTCTTGTCCATTTTGCTTTAGCAGGAGTGATAATTTTATGGTGGAATCTTGGAGAGAACAAAATATTCCAAAACCCGGGGAAAAGAGCTCTCATGTTTTACAGCTTCAGTCTCAGGCATTTATAGGATTTTATACTCATTGGTACAGTTGTAAATAATGTCAGAATAATGACTTTGTTATCAAACACTCAAAAAATTCAAAAAGACATTGTGGCTATAGAGAAATGAAAGAATTCTTGAGAAAGATATTTTTGGACAAATCTGACATTTTTATTACTGATTCATGGCAATTTTATTGCTTAACCCAACTCCTTTAATTCTTCAAGTGGAGAAAGATGAGACATTTTTGAAAAAAAGAAATAAAAGCCTTCACTAGAATCTTTAAATAGGTAATTTCTCTTTGTTTGGAAAGAAAATAATACTTTGAATTGCTGTGGTTTCTAGACTACTTCTAGTATGAAGGCTCCAACTTCTTTTATTCAGCTGTTCAAAAGGAGAGGAAAAAATACCCTGAACCAGATATAGTGCAATTGATTTGATAAGAACCCATACTGAATAGATCAGATGCCATTTTTTTTTGGTATGTTACACCATATTCAGATGCTAAATATTAAATATATCTTTAAAATCCTATTCTAATTGATACTGATGTTTGGCAAAGAAAAAGAAAAGTGCACCATTGGACTTTTTTGCAGAAAGGCTGGAAAAGCTGTGGAACCAGAAAGCTGCAAATGGGTATTTAAAGCTCTAGGCTATGCAGAGATATGGGCTGATGGGAAGCAGGAGATGGGACTAGCAGGAGGTGCACAGAGAGCTCAGGAACAGAAATTCTAAAAGGTATCTCACCTACGAAGCCTCACTTTACAGACCTTTATTTTCTTGAGAACTTCACAAAACTCCAGGGAACTTTTCAGCTGCAGTATCAGCCAGTTGAGGAGATTTTGTGAGCAGATTCTGTTTGCCAGCCCACTGTGCTGAGTTTGTGGCTGTCCAAGGGCTGTTTGGTCTGCATCAAGCACTCTGCCCTCCTGAAGAGATCATAGCTGTGGCAGAAAAGGATATCCAAGT